TAGACACAAGAGGTAAGCAAAATCATCTTGTATTTAAATCGAGATTAAGAATTTAACTAAGGCTTGACGATAGCATAAATCATTTAATAATCATTACATATATAAAGGATCAGGTATATGAGCGAGCTTGATAATGGAAATACATTACCATCCAACAGGGGAAACTGAATATAAAAGTTAAATATTCTGACATTTTAGGAGTCGCATAGACAGGAAGCATTGATTATAAGAAAATCTATATACCTTCGCTTTCGTCTTGCCAGCCATTAGCCAGCCACCATTCGAGTAATCGACGCCAGATGAGACCGCCTTAGTGGCGGCAGAAGAGATGGAATGGGCAACTGAGTAGACAAAGCATTCAGGTGGAGAGAAGCTTGGCTCCTCAGTTGTAGCATACTCATGGGGCGACGAATGAGCCTTGGGAAGAGAGAGGTATGAAGAATAAGAAAAACCAGAGGGTGCCACTGTTCGTCTGGTAGAGTTAGTCAAATCACTTTGCTCGGTATGAAGGCCAGTGACTCGCATAGCGGGTGAATCAGATGACTAGAATAAGAAGAGGAAGGAATAAAGGCAACAAAAGGATTTAAATAATCACATAGTATAGTACAGGAACGAGTAGGTAGTACGAGCAGGAAAAACATAGATAAATACTATTAAATAATTAATAATAAACGCAAAGCTAAGAGTGGTGGCTGATAAAGATATATACAAATTCAGAAGGAATAGGACTTCGAATGAAGTATGGCTCGCTTCGTGTAAAAGCATTGTTAATGACATATTTAGAGGTGTGACTTTTACTTTATTTTTTATTTTTATTTACTTTATAGGTGTCGTAAAAAGTTATGAAGAAGAAAGAAGTTTATTTTCGTATTTAAGTAGGTTTCGGGACTACCAGTAGATCTTGATTAAGAACTGTATTCACCCTATTTCGTCAATTAACATCTACTGGTAGTTTCGAAGTCCACTAATAAATGAAAATAAGTAATAAGACGGTAAATTTTATGACTAAGATGTAGCCTTTTGTTTGGTGGCAGTACTCCTAAGCTGAATAGTGTTGTCTTGACTTTGTTTTCACAACTTGGTCGGAGCGACAGGCACATCCGGTGGAACACACCTAGTTCTGTGTCCTCTGACAGTATTCATGATAATTTCCAGCATCGGACCATTTACTTGGTACATTCTCAAACGTTTCGCCAGCAACGCAAGTGAGAGGCACCACCCCTAGTACAGTGTAACGAACATTGCAGAGAAAGCATAGCTAGGAATATTCCACAAGGTCTCATTATAGCGCCGACCAAGTTGCAATAATGGAGTCGATTGTAATAACAAAGATAACGTTGAAGATATGAAGACCA